TCTGCCGTGCAGGCTCTCCACTTTAGATGGAGTAGAGAGGGGATTGCCCAGCTTCCTATTTCTGACAACTCGGCTTCCAATAGTTTTTCTGGTAACCTTTTCACTTTTTATTGTTTGAGGTATAATGTTCATTCAGTAAGTGCTCACCGCTCATGAGATATTTTTACACAAGAACATGTCCAGAACCCCGACGTCTCCCTCAGGCACTTCCCCGGCTGGCACCTTACCCAGTAACCGCTGTTCTGACTGCTGTCACCATCAGTTTTGCTGAAGCACATAGTATACACTCTTGTAGTTCTTCATTCAGCGTATGTCTGAGAAATTCACTAGATAAGTGTGTAGCAGCGCATTTTTTATTGCTGAGATTTTTCTGTGCTGTGAATATTCCACAGTTTATCGGTTTACCTATTGATCGATGATGTTTTTTTTAATAATTCTTTATTGTTGAAAGTATTACATATGTCCCCCTTTTTCCCCCATTGACTCCCTCCAGCCCACCCCTGCCCCCCACCCCAGGCCCTCACTGCCCCATTGCCTATGTTGTTTTCAGTTTTTGATTATTGTTATTCAAGCTGCTATGGGCAGTCTTTGGATGGAAGCTTCAAATAATTTAGATGGAGAAGTTTCGTAGCTTTGTTTTAGAAAGTGTTATGCTTAGTATTGTTCCGTGAGTGCCCTGCCTACTGCTGTGGAAGTCACCTTAGCGGGTCCGAGCAGGTGAAGACCGCGGAGGAGCCTGAACACATGTGTCCTGCAGCCACCGACTGTAATGTGGGTGCTTTTCAGAGAGTAACCTTAGTTTTCCAGTTGTTTAATTGTACTATTTGTCAAAGCCTGTTTTCATCAGTTTTACTAAGTGCTGTGCATTTTAGTTTTTTTCTAATTATTCTTTGCAAGTGTATACTTAGATGACTATGAAACTTATGCTCTTAGAGAGTACTTCCTCGGCTAAACGTTGCATAAAATGCAAAATAAGTACATATGTGTTTACATGATGGAGCTGCATATAAGTAACCTGTGGGGAAATGTGACCTTTTGTACAGAAGCTTCACCTGGAAACACTGGAGATGCTTCCGTGAACAGAACTACGGAGCCTCTGCAAAGGTATGGCCGCCCCGCCTGAGGTCCGCTCTCCGTCCTCACCTGGCAAGTGGGGGTGAGATGTCAGCCCTTTTCTTTCCCTCCAGCTTCCACCCACCAATAAAATGGTTCCAAAAAGACGATGTGGTCATATTGAAGATAAGAATAAGGAATGTAAAAGATTACAAGTGCAAATATTTTAGAGATAGAGTCATTTTCAGGTAGGTTTATGTAAATCTTGTAAAGTAAAATAGAAATAATCCCCAACATTTAAAAAAACTGACTCTTTTTTTTTGTAAACCTAGCGCCTGGGTAGGAGAAAAATTTTACTTGGCTGATTTGGAGTTGCAGGCCAACATAATAAAGGACGATTGCAAATGCATAATTAAAAACGAGGAACCTATAATCACTCTTGCAAAAGAGAGAAGGGAATCTTGGTGTAGCTTACTCAGGCAGAAGGTGAGCTGAAATGAACTGGCTGGCCTTACCAACCTGAGCGTGTTTTATTTCTCACTTAATGTAAACTGTTTTATTGTACAGAATCCTAATGTGGCTTTCGATTTTGATCACTGGGAAGAATGTGAAGAGGAGAGCCATTTCTCCAAGGGTAAGAGGGGATGTCCCCGTCCCTAGAGAGAGGGTAGGTCCTGAGTGCCACGGGGTGGACATAGTCACTCAGCTGATCTTAGGAAAGTGTGGCCTTTGGGGAAATGGGTGATTCCTGTAAAGCCCTTAGGAATCACTTTTCTTCCTGTGGTTGATCTTGATGCTACATGTTCCAGCTTGAGGAGCTCTCCATTCTCGGTTATAAACATACCTTTATTATTATTAAATATATTTTTATTGATTTCAAGGAGGAAGGGAGAAGAAGAGAGAGGTAGAAACATCAATGATGAGAGGGAATCATTGATTGGCTGCCTCCTGCATGTTGGACCAAGCCCGCAACCCAAGCATGTGCCCTTGACCAGAATCGAACCTGGGACCCTTCCGTCCGCAGGCCGACGCTCTACCCACTGAGCCAAACCGGCTAGGGCAACATACCTTCTTATAACACTTTTACAGGTAGTTTTCCTAGGAGAAAATTTTATTTATAAGCAAGCGATTTTTACCTGCTCATTTCCTGCCCAAAATAATGACATTATAAAAATAAGTTGTATAATAGATAGAGGTAGAGCCCAAGAGACTTTTTTTACATTGACCAAAATAATGGGAGGGGAAAAGATTTGCCAATTAGTTCTTAATTAACATATGTTTTAAACTAATATCTGACTCTTTTAGTTGTAACATCTAAAAACCTGTCCTACAAAGTGGCCGAGGTGGTGGAGAGCAGTGACCAGACTTCGGAGGATGAGGAGACGGAGAGCGACTGAGCGTGTGGGCCGGACCCTGAGGCGGACAGGGGGTCACCGCGTGACTGGACGCTAGAGAACAGCAGTCACGTTCACACCTTTTTATTACGAGGGGTCATTTGGGGGCACCGGGATTGGTAATGGTGAGAAATTCTGAATCTATTTAAAAATGGGCTGAGGCCCGGGCCTGGTAGCTCAGTTGGTTAGAGCAGGGGTCCTCAAACTTTTTAAACGGGGGGGCCAGTTCACTGTCCCTCAGACCGTTGGAGGGCCGGACTATAGTTTAAAAAAAAACTATGAACAAATTCCTATGCACACTGCACATATCTTATTTTGAAGTAAAAAAACAAAATGGGAACAAATACAATATTTGTATTTGCATGTGGCCCGCGGGCCATAGTTTGAGGACCCCTGGGTTAGAGCGTTGTCCCTATACGCCAAGGTTGTGGGTTCGATCCCCAGTCAGGGCACATACAAGAGTCAACCAATGAATGCATAAATAAGTGGAACAACAAATTGATGTTTCTCTCTCAAATTAATAAAAAAATAAAAATGTTAAAAAAGGGCTGAAGATGAGACTATGAGGGAGGGTGGAAGCGGAGACAGGAAGTGCTGGTCTAACAGCCCGGCTTCCCGGCTGTCCTGCTCACTGCGTCATTGCGTCATGCGAAGCCCATCCCGACATACCCCAGTTGAATGACAAAGAGCGCCCGGCTTTCGGATAATGAACTGTACTATCTGGAGCTCGTCTATTTGTATTTTTCATTTAAAACTACGTTTGGTGCATTCCTAAAAACATCTTGTGCATATTAAGTTGGAGTTTCTGTCTCATAAATCCATACTTGGCAGTGCTTAACAGAGCCTTTCGGCCATGTGTTAGTTGGGATTCAAACTTGTAGTAACACCTCTGGTGTCCTTAAGATATTGATCGCTACTCTGGGCAAGTTTACTTCGTATACAGTTATTTCAAGGATAAAAATGGGGTGGCCTGAGCCATACCAGCCAGACCCAAGGCTCTCGGGAGGTAAGCTACTGCTTCTGCGGGACCCTCTGAACCTGCGGAGTCCCGGGCCAGTGAGGCAAAGATTCCCCTTCAGTGGAAACGGAAAAGGACCTGTGGGGTGCCTGCAGGTAACCCTCAGGACACCTGGGTGTGATGACGCCTAACAACATTCATGACCCCGTTCTGGGGCTGTGGCACCAGGTTCACAAGACAGTTGGGAGGAATGTTACTGTCACTGCCCCTTAAATGTGGCGCCCAGAGCCTGGCTGTTCATGTGAATTGGAAAAGGTAGAAAGAGCCACTGGGAAGGTAAGCGCTGTGCACATCTTCATTCAGTGTGAGTGGCGGCCGCGCCCAGAGGTGGAATAGCGGCTCTAGAACACGACTGTGCGACTTGCCCCAAGGTCTTTGTTCCTTTATACACCAGAAAGCACAGATGCTCAGGTCGGGGGGGTCTCCCAGGTAGAAGCACCGTGTGAAAGAGGTAAACTGTCGCCAGGCTGTCCCGTGGGCAGGTTTGGGTCACACTGGCTCAGTTTCCTCACCTGTAAAACAAGACCTGTTTACCACGCTGCCCCCCCCTCAGGAGGCGCCCAGAGCACTGCTGCTGCTCAGGGCCTCTGCTGTGGGAGGCGGCTCTGAGCAGGAGGTCAGACCACCGCCCTGGCAGGAGGACACGGTCCACAGCCTGGACTGCGGCTGGAGCACATCCCTGCTGCTGCCCCGGCTCCCACAGCTAAATCAGGCCGGCTTTTCGGGAAATAAGCTCGGTCTTTGCTGGCAAAGGTTTTGACTGCGGAGCTCTCCTAAGTCCTCATGAGGTGTCAGTGTCTGTAGGCACAGCCTTCCCTCCGGCTGCAGGCGGCCTTGGGGTTGGCCTCCTGAGCCGCACTGGCTTTCCCTGGGCTTGTCAGCCACCTGCAGTTTATGCTCAGTGTACTCAGTCTCTTAAAAAACATAGCAAGTCATAGAGCTGCACAAATGTGTTTCCCATGTACGAATGCTGGGGGCCTGCTCTCAAAGAAGACGGAATGCTCACTCACTGTGGTTCACAAACAGCTAAATGCAAGTACAGGGGAGGCCCTGGCCGGGTGGCTCCGTTGGTTGGAGTGTTGTCCTATATACCAAAAGGTTGTGGGTTCAATTCCGGTCAGGGCACATACTTAGCAGATTTGATCCCCAATCGGGGCACTTGCAGGAGGCAGCTAATTGATGGTTCTCTCTCACATCCATGTTTCTCTCTCTCCTTTCCTCTCTGAAATCAATGAGAAAGGAAACAAAACATGGCCTCTGGCCAAACCAGTTTGGCTCAGTGGATAGAGCGTCGGCCTGCGGACTGAGGGGTCCCGGGTTCGATTCCGGTCAAGGGCATGTACCTTGGTTGCGGGCACATCCCCAGTAGGGGTTGTGCAGGAGGCAGCTGATAGATGTTTCTCTCTCATTGATGTTCCTAACTCTCTATCCCTCTCCCTTCCTCTCTGTAAAAAAAACAATAAAATATATTTTAAAAAAAACAAAAAAAAAACATGTCCTCTGGTGAGGATTAAAAAAACAATTACAGGGGAGGAGGGCTCTACCTGAAACTAACCCTCATTTCTTTTTTCGGACATTTATATTTACTGTTTGAAGATCTAAATAATGTTTTGCAGGACAGGACACTGACTTGTGAAATGTAGACAACTACTAATTGTTTTTTGTTCTATTAATATGTACGGATTTCATGTTTGGGGAAGATTTCCGAAATCTAAGGTAAAAGTACTTTGTCTTTATGTTTCTAAATTGCTCCCATATTTAGTTGTGTGATCTCTTTTGAAGTATATCAATAAAATTAGTGTTTTCACAGAAATGTTTATTTTTTACATTTTTTAGACAGCATTTTCCCTGAGTCCCAAATGCAAAATAGAACTTTATTCACCACACTTTCTTGTTTGACCAAAACGCCCGTGACGGCTGTTGGGGAGCTGGGATGCTGACCGCCGGTTGCAGTGCCCTCGGTTCCCAGCGGTCAGCTCTGCGGTGGGGCCGCGACATTCCGCCTGGGACAGGCCTGCCGTGCACATCCCAGGTTCAATATGGGGGTGGCACTAGTCTCGGGAGGAGGATGGGTAAGTGGTAAACATTTGTACTTCTGTATTTTAAAAATCTGTTTCACACAAAGCAAAAGTTTCACCAATTTTTTGTATACGTTTTGATCACTACACTTAAACAATTCCCTTTATTTAAGTAGGTGTGAATATCTAAAAATGCCAGTATTATAGACATTGCAGTACATTTTTTTCTTAAGAAAAACATCAGGAAGAAATAACTGCAGATAATTGCTTACAAAAATAAGTCCATCACTGCTTGGCCCTGCTGCGGGCGACTGAGTCTGTTACTCTGGAGCTTCCTCCGCTGGGACAACTTCCATCAGCATCTGAAGGTGCATGGTGATGGGCTCTGGGGTGAGAGTCAAAAAGTGCCGTTAGGAAGCTAACGAAACGAGTTTGCCAGGCTTAGTGGTGACAGCACTACTGTCACTCTGTGGCGAGTCCTGTTAGGCCCACGGTGCTGGGAAGCAGGCAGAACCATCCTGGCAGCTCAGTGGTTCTTAGGGCACAAGTTATTTCCCCTAAAGCATTAGAGACCTGCTAAATATTTTATTGCCACCAAACAATTTGTAGGAAAAATATGAATAACTCAATTATATGCATATGTTTACCACTGACCAATGGTTGAATATGAGTCTGAAATCACTGAAGACTTCATCTTGTTTAAAACAGATTGTTCACTCTTTTCACTGGCTTAATTCCAACGTCTTACTGGTTTTTGTAGGGAGCAGCTTGGCTAAATATTCTAAAGCTGAGAAGACATTTTTGGAGGGCGGTAGAAGAGGGTATGGGGGGATAGGTGGTGATGGAAGGAGACTTGATTGACTTGGGGTGATGACATAGTACAATATACAGATGATGTATTATAGACTTCTACACCTGAAACCTATATAATTTTATTAATGTCACCCCAATCCTATCTAATAATAGACAAACATGGTAATTGACCATACCTTCGATACGCCTCCCATTGGCTAATCAGCTCAATATGCAAATTAACCGCCAACAAAGATG